CAATTAATATAATAAGACGATGTATATTTTTTTGTATAACGACGGGAATGATTAAATATTTAGCTGTATTACAAGCTTTGTAATTGAAACACGTATAGATTTTGAGGAAAAACACATCAGAGTTGAGGCTAATCTATCAAGTAATTGCAAAGAGACTCGAGTGCACAATGTTCTCTTTCTTCTTTATTTTTCTTGTCAATGTATCGTTGTAGATATCGCATTATGGAGTTAGATGTAATCGTTCCTTCGTCGTTATGCAAGGATAATTGTACCGAAATTGCTTCACCTATTTCTACGTGCGGGATCATTATTTGCAGCGAATTATTTTTAATGCTTCTCTCTCCTTTTTCTCTCTATGCATCGTACGTTATTTCCCTTTATGTGCGTAATATAATACATTATTGCGATATATACTCTAATTGCACAATTCTAATTATCCTACCACAACACTTTTATTAATTAAACCATTTTCATGAATGATTGGAATGAATCCTTGCCCTTGTATTCTCGATATTGAAATAGAAATACATTCTGGTGAATCTCTTTTTACACATACATTGCCGATCAATTCTCATTACACGTTATTTGCCGATCTACGTGAACAAAAAGACTTGTGAAACGACTCGTTAATTCAAGGACATTAGCTCGTTACGTTAAATAAAATATTCGCCTTTAAAAGTCAGTAAGTCTGATAAATCAAAATAAAGTAAGTACACATTTAAACGTTCAAGCGCGCTTTTAACCAGAGATTTAAATCAAATCTTACGGCAACAAGAGGCTATTACGCGTTAGTGCAAAAGTGCAACGTATAATTAACGTAAAACTCTAGTTTGTTTTGTTGTTGACTTTTTTTTTAAATGTCCCGTCTCAATATACATGGAAACTTCCAGGTTCCGAAAGATGATGGAACGCGCGACAGGGTTTTCCGTTACGCAATCATTACGTAAAGTGAAACCGCCGTGTGTGACAAGGATTACAAGGTAAGCAATCAAATCCGGAAGACGGAGCCGAGGTCGGCATCGGAGTCGGGCATTACGGGTCCTTACGGGCGACGGGGAACGGATTTTAGTCTACCCTGCCCCCTTCCCTGGATTTATTCTCCAGGTAGCGTCGTCGGTACGCCCCGGTAGGGTCGAATTTGTCCTCCAACAATTTCCAGTCGTCCGGCCTATTGTCGATTAGATGATGGGAGATCTTGTCGGCCATATTCTTCTGCGCCTCGCTACATCCGGCACAGTCGTGCTCCAACGCATCCGGCAGATTTTCTAAAGGGGGACGCAGATCGAGATTATTAACGCACATGGTATATTATCGGGACGCACTTTGTCCCGATTCGTTATTGATTGAAGAACGTAGCGAGAGAACGAGAAATGCCTCAATCGATCTTTTAAACCTCCATTTTAAAGAATTCGTCTGAATAATAATATTAAAATAATTTTTATATTGAATAACTATGATAAAATTTTATTAAAAAACTCTATAATAAAAAAGAAGATGCCTGTATTGAAATCGCAAAATTCTACTTGCTTTCGCTGAGAAAATCTCGGGAGTTTCAAATCTCGGAGTATACACGAGTTATTGGAGTTACGGTTAAAGGGTTAAAGGGCTATGGAAAACGGGCGTCTCGCCGTTCGACGTACTTACTTTTTAACTCTGCCGCGTCCGGAGTGCAGGGGTTCCGATCGAGCAGGCAACCCACGTATCCGTTCAACAGTCTGTCATTGTTTATTATCGCGTCCACGTCTACATTGTCGAATTTCGTGGTGTACGCCTCCTCGGCGAGAACGGAGGAGGACGAAAGGGCGCACACGGCGATAAGGGCGACGACTAGGTGTCCCATCGTATACCGGACAAGAGTGATGCCTTGCTTCCGATTCACTGCTGATGGAACTCCATTACTTCGGATGTCTTATAAAGGAGCCTGGCACGCCTCGTTAGTCGCACGAAATCGTTTTCATGCGTCCTTGCCATAATTTATCGAAAAAAATATGCGAAATGAAGTCACTTCCTGTGTCGATGCAAATAGATGTATTTCTCTGAAAAATCTTTTATAAATTTTTTATCGTGAAGTTATTAAATGTTATTAAAATTATTTTAATATTATTCTTTGGATTATTGTATAGATTATATTATTACTGTAAGAGAATAATATTAGAAATGTTAT